TATACATAAATATAATTATAATATATAAATTATAATTATAATATAATTATAATATTATAAATTATAATATATTAAAATTAAAAATGACAATTTGAAACTAAATTATAAATAAAATTATTTTTGGCAATTATAGTTATTACAAAATCAATCATTATTTAACGTGCTATAGAATTAATATCTTTATTATCCCGCTGTTTTTTAATCTTCTTCCTTTTCTTGCTCTTCTTCTTCGGCCAGAAGCTGCAATATTTTTATCTGTAATTTTCTACACCTTCTATTCGATAGATTTTCCATCCCTTCAATTATGAGATTTGCAAAGTGGACCAAACCAAGTGGATCATCTTTCGACGAATCATGTGTCGCTGCAAATAAAATAAAATTATAAAAATGATCAATTATTATATTTCTTAGAAGTCTTTCTAACAATAAGAAGACATAATAAGAAGCTCTTTTTTACGACAACAATTTTCTTACCTGTTTTGTTCGGTGTCGAAGTTCTTGGTCTGTCGAGATTCTTATCGTTTGGCCGCAAATATGAGTTTTCTTCCGATATATCACTGAATGAATCACTGAAAAACAATTTCAATATTTTATTTAATTATCGAGATATTCGATATCGGCCTGTTGCATTTGAAATTTAGCAAGGTGTTAAATGGCAGAATATGTAAAAATACATACGATGTATCCGTTGCTTCAAGGAAGCTCATCATTTCCGAAAATCTGAATTCCTTCGGCCGCCGTGGGAAACTTGATTCCCTTTTGTATCTCGTGTAACAATCCTTAAGATATTTCCAGCGTTTGCTGGCCTCCTCCGCCGTTATTGAACCTATAATAATAAACAAAATCTTAAAATACACTTTGCAACTTTGCATCGTGTAATATGTTTTAAATAATTAAAGTATTCAATAAATGTAATATTTGAATATTTATACAAACCTTCCATCGCGTTTTCCACTTGTTCCCACAGCAGTTTTTTTTTGTCTTTGTCCTTTTATATAGGGAGACACGTGAATCCCACAGCGCTGGAATAGCTTTCACAGTTTGAATTAATTTCTCGTCGCGGCACTCCTTCGATTCTTCGTATTCACTAATTATATTACTAAGATCACTCATTCTAATATTATGATTATAATGTAAAATGATTAAGCGCGAAAACTATTAATTGCTAAAATCTAGATTAGAAAGACTTCCAACTCGATTCGTTTACTAATCGCGACTGTCGACTTTGACAATGAGTCAACAAATAGATTGGAGTCTAAATGTGAGTCAGTCGATACAGTTAATCGGCGCTGACACCACAGTGGTGTCAGAATTTTAAAAAACTGGCCAAAAATATATATCTTTATTGTAGTATAACAAAATTATGTACGTTTTTTAGATGGCTGTTTACAATAAGAAAGTTATTATTTTAATCCAAAACAATTGATTAACATCTATAATAAAAAAATACACCAATAATATTATTTCTTTTTTAAAACGTTTATTTATTTTATTTTATAATTTGGATATTTTAAAAAAACATTTCCACAAATAATAATTAACTAATTAAATAATTAAATCAACATAAGATAATGCTTATTTAAAAAATATTAAAATGGATCTTTATCTGAATCAAATATTTTTTCATTATTTTCGTCATTATTATATTCTCTTGATTATTCATAATTACATATTATTCATAGTTACATATTAGTATATACGTACATACATCTTATAGAATGAAATTTACATTCATCATAGAAAAAAAAAGGTTTATTTTTCGTCAATCTCAAACAGCAGTCTCGAACAATATATTCTGTCCAATAATGATGAGCAACACCCGGTATATCGGGTCTATCAATCTTCCTTTAACTCAATGATTGACATTTGATATACTACATTTTATTTTTGTGTCTCATATGTGCTATACATAAAAAAATATTTAAAATATTTATGAGTTCTCAAATATTAAATCCATGCCCTTGTTACTGCCGCAACTAGGAAAGTCGATCGGCACAAGAGGCAAATTTCGATCGAGCCCCACTTTCATTACAAATTGCATTCCAGGCCCGAGTAATTGAGGATGTATAGCAGTATTTCTCGCTTCCCATAACCAATATCCTGAAAAATACAATAAAAAGAATTTTAATTACTAATATGCGTAGATTTATTCTATTCATGGTATATGCATGGTACAGGAGGTATCATTTTTACCTAAATTGTCGGTGTAGAATCGAAGAATAACATAGCCCTTGTTTGGTACAACGAAAGTATCTTTTCGTACCGGATTCACAAGATTTCGGTGCATTCTTCTACTACGGTCCAACGATATAATTTCATCTTTGGTAATAGGTCGCTCGAAACTCTCTTGGCCTACGATACTGGCATTATAACCGTGTAGATGAAACGTATGAGATACATCGCCTCCGAAGCCTGGGGAAAATACGATCTGTACAGGCGATTAACTTTACCCTGAGAAATTTTTAATCTAAGAAGCAATTTTTATATATATTAATATTATTAAAGGAAATTGATTTTCTATAAATCGAAAAAGATAGAATGTTAATTATTTTGCGGAACATTCGCACGATGATATTACCTTCATCTATTAATACAATTTCGATTGTTTTCCGCGGTGAAACTTGAATCATTTGCAGACACTCGCAAAACAACGGTGTATCGGCACAATTGCTAGAACGTTTGTCAAGGGTGCAAATCGAGTCCTCCAGGGTGTTTTCCGGTTGCGATAATATCGGAGATGAAGGATACTTGAAAGACATGCCGTTAATCTGCGATATCTTCGTCGTGCCTTTTTCTAAGCCTGAAATTTTCCTCGATATGTGATAATGACGAAAATGTTATATCTTTTTAGAAGAAAAACATAAATACTAATAAG